TTTCTCCAGAGTGGGACATCAGGGGCCGGCGCTGCCCTGCCGAGATGTCCCGGTGGGACGGGGCCGGTGCTGCCCTGCCGAGATGCCCGCGGTGCGGGAGCGGCCAGGCGGGGCTCTGAGCCCCTCGCTGCGTGTGCCTGAGCCTCTCTACAGCCCCGGAGCTGGTTCTCGTCCCCTGACGGTGGCTTCGCAGGCGGGATGGCAGAATTAATAATTCCCTGTCTCTCGGGCCGTCGTTTCTGCCGCGTGCCTGTGCCCAAGCCTCGTGTGCTCCCTGTGTTTGTGGGAGCTCACGTCCGCGCGGTTTTAATAGGTCACGTTTTATGCTTTGATTTTTGTCAGGGTTTGCTGAAACAGGAAAGGTGAAAGAGGTGAAATCATTCATTCTCATTTTTGCAGATTTGTTCAAGGGAAACCTTTCTTAGGGAGTACTATTGTCATTCTTGTGCAAAGCCTTTGGCGTCCCAGGATGAATTCCATCGTAAACTGAAATAAGAAAACAATAGGCTAGAAACAGTAAGTGAGAAAACAATAGGATGTTTGAGGAAGAAATGTTATTGTGGTGTTCAGTTATTTTTTGGGTATGGACCCCTGTTATGAGGTTCAGAACAGGGGTAGATGCCTCTCTGCCTCCCAAGAAGCCTTCAGGGTATAGTTAAAGTTCTACTCAAAAACTGCCGAAACATTCTTGTGTGCTTGGCTTAACATTTACCATGATCCAAAGTATTTATTATCACTGTGCAGCATTTGGTGGTGGTGAAGTTTGTAGATATTGCCACGTTTTTTTAAGGCATGTTTGAATTGCTTTTTTTTTTTAAGTATGAGTTCAAGGGTAAACTATGAATGCAACAGAAAAATAATAGCAATAAATCCTGATTCATGTTGATAATTCAACATGCAGTTCTTTTCGCTTTTTGTGGCTAGAACTTTTGTAAGCTCTACTACTGGTGTTCTCCGGGAGTGAAATGTGTGCTCACAACGATGCAGTCGTGCACTGGAAGATGCCCCAGTGCTTTTAAAGTAATATAGGCTTTATAAACATATAAGCTGTCATTATTTAAAAATTGTCATAATGGAGAGCATAACCAGTATTGCGTGACTGAGGCATCAATCATGTTATGCAAATACTAACAAACTGTAAATTCTGCAGGTAGCACTGTGGTTTAAATATCTGTTACATCCTAGAGTCACATATAGAAATCACATCTGATTACTCTGTAAGAAGTAACACAGGATTATTGCTAAGGGAGTTTTGCAACCTACAAACAATTATGCAGATGCTGTTGGCTCTTAAAACTAATTGGGTTTTGAATTCTGCATATATTCACCTATATGCCTTTATATATGAGGTCTGTACCCTCTTGGAATACTAGAATACCAGTATATTCTTCCTGGGATGGCTTTTTTGTTGTTTTTTTGTTTGATTAGTTTTGTTTTGTTTTGGATATTTTTATTTTTTTATTTTTTGTGTTATTTCCTTTTTGGTTTTGGTTGGTTGGTTGATGGTTTTGGTTTTGTTTTAGGTTAAATTTGCTTGTCCTTTTCATTGTCTCTGGGGGAAAGTCCACACAATCAAGACACTTTTCATTGTCTCTGGGGGAAAGTCCACACAATCAAGACAAACTGTGGAATTACTTGACACAAACTGCTATAGTATAGTGAACACAGTAAGCAAGGAAAGAGGCAGTGGGAAGACCTGTGGTTCTCTAGCCCTAAGTATATCAAAAATGTTTCAGAAATGGAAAATTTTAGAGTCTGCAGACAACTAATTCTGTTTGTGGAACAGAAAGCAGCACTTCACCTCTAAATGTCTCCTTCTTTTAAGCTAACATTTTAACAGAGAACATTGTGAAGCTGGTATTAGCTTGTTGTGCTTCAATATATGGGGTCCTTTTTGCTGTGATTTGTATGTTTTGCTTTTGTACTGAGTAAAATGTAAATTGCCAAAAGTTTTATCACGGACAAGAGCAATCCCTCAAGCCACTGTGGTCAGAAATGTACGCTTATTTTATTTGCTGCATGCCAGGGAGAGGAGTGTGACTAGTCTAGCTGTCACATCTGAGGGCATCTCAATTGATTTGAGATTCCTATAAGCATGGAGGCTCACATTAACATCTCTGTTTTTACAGAGAATCGTCTTTTCACATATTGTGGTACTATGCCACAACTTGAAGTGTGAGAGTAGCCTTAATGTCTTGAAAAGTGGGAAAGGGTGAAAGTACAAGTAAGGTGTTGAACTTTTAAGAAACTTTTTAATTCTGTCTGTGCTCTACTCCTTAGATTTTGAAGCAAGTTTTATTCGTCTGATTGACAAAGTGACCAATGGCTCGCGGATTGAAATAAACCAGACAGGTGAGATCTGTTTTTTTCTGCTTCATCTGTTCTGTCTCCAGGATTTATTAGTTTCTGCAGTAGAATCAAAGTCTTTCCTTGATAGATGTAGGTGTTCAGATAAGATTACTGAGAAGATGAGAAATAACAAAGTTGACAAGTTTTGTAATAATTGGTCATGTGCAAGAAGGTCTGTGCCCCACTGTAATGCAGAGAGCTAAGGGAAGCTCTGTTTCCCAAGAGCTAAAATTAGTATTTTGTTAGGTATACAGGATTCACAGTGGGCAAAGGTTCCTCTGTACCAGAATCAATTTTTGTAGAAGACAAAGATTTACCCTCTACAGAGGCAAATTTCTTAGCCAGACTTGCTTGCTTATTCGTGCTTAGGAAAGGGTTTGATTAGAGTGAAAAGAGTCAATGTGAAAACCTCACCTGGTCTGAGTTTTCTGGGGTTTTTTTTAAGGGTTCTAATGATTTTCAGTTGGTAAGTAAAGCAAATTAATTACCATCAGATATGCCAAGACTACAATGACCAGATGGACTGATGAAGGTTTAGCTTCCGTGGAGGATAATAATTGCTTGTATCAACATTTTGAAGATTGCTAAGAGATCCTTTGTTTTAGGGGGAAGGGAAAGGAGGACATTAATGCACAGGACAGACAGACACTCATGTGTTGACCCATTCATTAGCTGCAGACATGTAAATAGTGTGCTGAAAATGCTATAATCTTCTATATAGTCTTCTACCTCCAATTTACCTGCATATGTTGTTGCAAAGTATTTTTATGCTGTTCTAATGTTTTAATTTTGTTTAATGTGTTCTACAGTGCTCTCATTTGGTTTGCTCCCCATGCCTCTTCCTCAGGTACCACCTTGTACTATCAGCCTGGTCTTCTGTACGGAGGCTCGCTGGAACATGACTGCAGCCCCAGTCGTGGTATTGGCTACTATTTGGAAAGTCTGCTCTGCTTGGCACCTTTCATGAAGCATCCATTGAAGATTGTCTTGAGGGGAGTAACAAATGATCAAGTAGATCCTTCAGTAAGTAATAAAGTTTAAGTATCAGAGAAGGATATTTTTTCTCCCTTAACTAACAAGATTGGGAAGAAGTGTCTGAAACATGTTGCATTTTTATCATCCCTCACATCCAGAAGTATCCTGCAGTTGTTGCTGCGTTAGCAAGCTTTCTGAGTCAAAAGAAGCACCTGCTAAACTAGAGTGTATTAAACTCTGAACTTCAGTTTGTGATTCCCCTTCCGATGTTCAGCTCTGTACTGCCTCTGTCTTCTCCCTTGCAATCTCCTTTTAAATGCCGTGTGAGGACCTGCGACAGGTTTGGTTCTCCCATTCTCTTAGAATTTCAGTGGATTATTTCTCTTGCCCCACTGTGTATTTACTGTATAAAGTGTCTTCAAAATATGAGTGCCAAAAGGAAGGAATCTTTCTCTTCTGTTGGATTCTGGACGTAGTCATACCACTGCTGCTGTCAAGCCTTCTTTCTATCAGAACTAAGTCACATGGTAATTAGGGAACTATAGTAGCAAAAGTATGTAGTAAGTCTCTGGTTCTTCTGAAATATGCCAGAAGGTGTGGTAGGTCAGATGGCGATGAAATGCTTGCCGTGGTTTCTTAAACTGATCTGCAGTCTTTTGTTTTGTACCAGTGTTGTAGCAAAAATGAACTGTGGGAGATGTGATCAGAATGCTGAAGTAATGATTAGTGGTTATGCTCTTTATTTATTTTTCTCCAAATACTCCAAACATATACTTCTTGCTTTTAGAGAACAGCATTGCTCTTTACTTTTTGAATGATGATTGGACACTGCCTGTTTTCCTCTGAGTAGATTAAAGGGCACATTGTAATCTGGGAATTTAACCAGTTTAAATGAATACAAATACCTGTAAAATACAACTACAGATACTACAGGAGTCCCTGAGTCCTTCTAGAATTTGTCTTTTCAGCTGTGTTTCTCTGGTCATTTAAAAAAGTCACTCTCTCAGCCGTGGCTCTGTGAGACATCCACATGAGTCAAAGGATGATCAAAGTGGGTTGTACACAGCACTATAAGAAAAAAGAGGAAGCATTTTTTGCTACCCGTCCAGTCATTGTGATTAGAAGTCCTTATTGTAACTGGTAAGTGGTAAGAATCAAAGAAGTCCTTTTCTGTTGACTGTTTAATCACAATGGAGAAATCCTTGCATAATCTGGAGATGAAGAGTAGTCCAGTGTTCATACTGCTTTCAAGTAAATTTGGACACTTATTTAGAGTGTCCAATCAAGAGTCTTGGAAATTCTGGAAATTATCTCCTCTTGGGCTTCAGTCACATTGGCCTGAGATTAACTATTTTAGTTCAAATGGGTGCAAGACTTATGACCACTTCGCTTGAAGGGTGCTTGCATTTGCCAAAACTCAAAAAGTGGGTTGGCATGCATCAGCTGACTCCAAGCTCCAGACACTAAATGTAAATCAAATGCATGTAAAGAATTACATCTTAAGTTAACTGTGCTATAGTAGCAATTACATATTAGTCTTAGTGGCAACACAGTAATAACTTCAGTTACTGTGATTTAGTTCATACTTGTTAACGTTTCAATTCGGTGGCTGTAATTTCATTGGGTGAACGAAATTCAGAATTTCATTCAAATTTCATTCGGTGGCTGTAACCGAATACCAGTTCCTGAAATTGATTTCAACCTAGTTTTACGTCTGTTTAACTTGCGTGAGTAAGCATTAATCCTGGTGCACACCAATAACATACTTTAAGGACTTTTACAAGTTGTTTTGTATAACATATGGCTCTGCTGGTTTCTGACACTAAAACCACAAATCTAAGAGCTACCCCAATTGATTTGTATGCTTAAGTAAATGGAAACTTTGTTTTAAATTGATTTTGGTGTAGCAATGTATCTAAATAACTTAGGCCATAGTGTGCTCCAGCCAAGCCAAACCATCTGTAGAATTTCTTACCAGACACTCTGGGATTTGTCAAGGTTGCTAAGATGTAAACTGTTCTAAAATAAGAAAGAAGAGGCTGAGAAATGAGACCACAAAAGCCAGATAACAGGGGGCAGTCAAACGCCTGGACAGTGACCAATCCTGAAAAATGCATGCTAAGTTCATAAACAGGATGGAGGAACCAATCAAGTAATGCGTGATCCCATAAACAGTATAACGTGCATAATGTGAACAATGAAGAGTTTCTGCGAAATCATGTTAGTTCATTGTTCTGAGGTCTGAAGCTCCCACATTTTGGTTTTTATTTTTCAGTAGACAGAGCATGTTTTAAAGTCAGTGAACAGCTACTACCCACACAATTATGCTCGCCCAAAAAGAGATGCTTAAACTTGTTTATCTGTCTCTATGTTTTCTGCTCTCCAAGGAGAAGGTGGAAAGGCAAACCAGTGTGACTACAGTGTGGGAGTTTAGGTGTTTTCCCTGCTGCTCTTCATGTAACAGCCTTTCTATTTCAACTTAGTGGGTTGTATTGGATTTGCCTGGCTGGGTTTTGTGAGCTGGGATGCTACAGAGGTGGCTTCCGTAAGAAGCTCATAGAAGTTTCCTCTTCATCCAACACAGGCCGCGTTGACTGGCTCCAAGACAGACCCACTGCTGGCCACGTCTGAGTCCATCAGTGATGGTGGTAGTAACACTGTTGGGGTAACAGCTTTAAGGAGGAAGAGTGTGGGGGGCGATGGAATTGTGGAATAACCTGGAGCAGGAGAGAGGAGTGAGAATATGGGAGAGAAACAGCCCTGCAGACAGCAGGGTCAGTGAAAACAGGGGGTGTTCCATGCAGTGGAGCAGAGATTCCCCTGTAGCCCAGGATGAAAACCATGGTAAGGCAGCTGTCTTCCTGCAACCCATAAATGTGGACAGTGAAGTATATATTCACCTGCAGGGCCTGGTGCTGGAGTGGGTGGATACCTGAATGTGGCTGTGAACCTGTGGGAAGCCTGCACTGGAGCAGGATTCTGGCAGCACCTGTAGGCCTATGGAGAGAGAGAAACCTATGCTGGAGCACAATTGCTGACAGGACTTGTGAACTCATGGGGAACCCGCACTGGAGCAGTTTATGAAGAACTGTAGCCAGTGGGAGGCATCTATGAGGCAAGGAGCAGGAATATGTGTGCAACCAGAGGAGTGTGACCTGTCCCTTGTGGCACTGAACAAGTAGGCTGACCCACTGGGCTTTGAGAAATCCACTTTCAGCACTGAGATCTTGGCTTTTACACAGTCTCGAAAGTATTTGTGGGATGTGATTGCTGTGTGGTTTGAGGTTGCTCTTTACCAGAGACCTCCTTGTCAGGTGCATACAAGGGAATATTATAGATCTCCTGCTGTGAGGAGAGTAAAAGAGATCCAGCTGAGAAGAAGAGTTTCTAAAGGACATCTTGTTGAAGTAAAGACTTTTGCTGAGTTCAATGAGGCACAGATCCTGGGAACGTCTGCGTTCCCAGAGTTTACTTCGGTGTTTGTTTACATACGTTAATAGCCCTCCAATAGGGGGCAATGGAAAGCTCTTTGACAACTGGCGTCAAGTCCTAAAGAGTACCATGGCCACTGAACATGCACTTGTTCCATCTGGGACTGTGGTGACATTATTACTAATAATATTATACATATTATTTGTTATATTATTAGACACTGGAAAAAATCAGCCTGTGGATGCCACAACCCTGGCAGTGTACAAAGCCAGGCTGGACCACCCGGTCTAGTGGGAGGTGTCCTTGTCCATGGCAGGGGCAGGTGAACTTAAGGTCTCTTAAAGATCCCTCCTGCTATGATAATATTGCACATTATTACTACTGTGTGAGTGATACATCCTAATTGGGTGAAAGGAATGCTACTTTGCTCTCACTAGATCAAAGGAATAGATAAGTCTGGACTGTTCATTAGCAGCCTACACTTGCATTATGTTTCTTGTGCCATAGAGGTGAGATCTGACCCTGGGTAGCTTGTGGGACCAGCCATGTGGGACTGGGTTGAAGCAGTTTAAAGTTTCTATGTATAGGGATTATATATGTGGGGGGTGTCCTTTGTAAAGTGCCTTTCTGAAGGGAATGGAGGTGGCACGCAAATAGTAGCTGCTATTTTCCTTTCCTTCTCCATGTATTGTCATTCTGACATTCAGATACAACTGCAGTAACCTGTTTTAGAGTAACCATTCTTTGTGTTTCCAGGTGTTGAAGATTTTTTACAGCTATGCCAAGAGGCTTTGAGTTCGAATGAGTCATGCTGACATGAAACTTTAGCTTGGGAGCAGTAATCTTCAATCTTAATCAGAACTCAACTGTTTGTAGAAAACAACAAGTTTTTCCTACTGAGTTTTCTTCCCACTTTACTTTATTCCTTGTTAAACTCTGTTTTTTCTCTTCCCCCTCCTCCCAATCTAGGCTCTATTTCACAAAACATATCAACATGTGTATGGTGGGGCACAATGATCTGTGCAATGCTAATGGATAATGTAGGCCAACTGGTGTTTTTACCTTTCTTACGTAGCCATGTGCTGCAGGGTCTCTATCTGGGTGTTTGGTTTGGTTTGTTGGGTTTTTTTTTTTAAATCTTTGCACTGGATAAGGGATTCTTGAACTTAATTTTCCACCTTTTTCTTCGCTATTGTAGATTTCTTTACAGGAAGTGATTTGTGATTTCACACAACTTTGTGAATAAGCAGTATCTATGGGAGTTAGAATGTTGTCATTTGTGGTGAGATATACCATCAGTTGTATGATGTATTTGTTTTGGCGCAACCTGGTGCTATGTTGTCTGTTCTGGAAATTGAATAACTGCCCTCCAAGGGGAGCCCATCCAAGGGGTGTGGTTTATGGCTGAGAATAGGCAAAAGGATAGAAAAATGGGTTTACAACTCAGTTCAGCTGCTGTTTTCTGATTTTCAGTGAACTGCTTCACATCCTGCCCAACTCGCCACTTGTCTGTGGGGCAGAACACCCTTCTCCCATTCTTCAAATACTGATGATTGCCTCCTCTATTTGGGCAGCAAAATTGGAACAGTCAGTCTTACATGTCTGTTTCATACCTCTTAAGTATTACGGCAGGAATTTTTCTGAGGACTGAAAATTATGACAAATCTTGAAGTTTTTTGAGTTCTTAACCTACACAGTAAAGTTTTTTTATTTTAATGGTATGTTTTGTTTCATGAGAAGGAGGAAGAAACATTGTGTGATTTTAATTTGAACCAGATCAGCTTGTTGAGACTTCTGCCAGTGGTATTTGCATGCTTGTGCACATGCATGTTGGTAAAGGCTTTGCTCCAAAAGTCAAATTTGTATAGCTAATGAAAACTATTGAAGGGCCAAAGCAAGGTAGCCTGGCTGCAAAAAACCATAAACTTTGTAGGTTAAAAGGAGTTAAGCATTGGTTTATTTTTTTTAATGAAGACATTAAAATATTGATACTGAAAACAACACCAATGTCTCTCTGTTAGAAAGGAAATATGTCCAGCAGGAATTGAAAACAAGAATTGAGAATGAGAACATATATTAATAGCTCCTCAGGTACCACTAACAGAATGTTCACAGATCTGTAGGTGAGGTATGTGCTGCCGTTTTGCCAGTGGCTTGCACTCTCTTCAAAGCAGAGAAATTGAAATTTAAGAATTCTGAATTTTGGCTGAAGGCATGGGAAAGAGGGTGCTTTTTGTCTGCCTCATCAAATGCTGACTACCTCATGACTGTTTCCTTCATCTGTGTTTATTTTGTCTTTGGTCATGCTGTCCTGATCCTGTCTATCCACAGCTATTTGTCTTGGGTAACTCCCTGTGTTGTTGCACTGCTAAATAATTTTTATCACTTTTGGCAATACTACTGAAGTTTCAGAAGAGGGAAGAAGTGGGCAGTCCCTGTAGTGTTGGGAATTAGGAAGAGCTACAGCAAGGATAATTCTGTCCAGACCTGGACCTGGTAAGCACCTGGCTTAAAAGGGAGCACACTGATGATGTGGTACACACTTCAGATTCTTTTAAGTGCTTCAGTAGAAGCTACCTATAAGCTTCTGTTTCTTAGAAACAGGTAAAAAGAAGTTGTTGATAGAAGAATGATCTTTCTGCCAAAAGAAATTGCTCTTGCAGTGATGATTGAAAAAATGCAGTGGTTCTTGCATTAATTTCTTTAGCTATAGCAATTTTTTAGTTATGAAAGAAGAATATTATTTTCTCAATAAAAGAGAAATGTTCGCAGAAATGTTTCACTATTCAGAGAAACAAGTAAGCTGTTTTACATAACGGCATTCAAAATCAGGCTGAGGAAGAAGCCAGAATAGGAAATTCTATCTGCCAGTAATTTGTTCTAGGAAATTTTTTAGTAATGATGTACTGTGATAGTCTAACTAGATGAAGCTGTCTGTGCTGCACGTCTTCCCATAAAATACCTTCTATGAAGAAGACTTGTCTCTGTTAGTCACCTCATAATTCAGTGATTTTTTAAATTACTGACTAACCTAACTTCCAATAGAGAGTTTCTTTTTTTAATTCTGTGTTCCATAGGTTGATGTCCTTAAGGCAACAGCTCTACCCCTTCTGAAGAAGTTTGGAATTGATGGTGAAAGCCTGGAAATCAAGGTAAGACAGTTTGTTCCTTTCTTTTCAAACGTGTTGAAATTGTTTTCCTGCCGTACTTCACAGGATGATGTGCTTGCTGTGGGTTTAACAGTCTCTGACAGTTGTGGATACAAGCCACACGGTGATAGAGAGGGTAAGGAGAAAGTAGTGACTTTTCTTATTCTCTGAAGAAGACTGAGAAACCATTTTGCTTTTTGTTGCTTTTCAGTTAATTTATTAACTTTTTATTTCTACTTGTTCATTCTGCCTCATGCTTGGGGCTAGGGAGTAAAAATGGCACCTTTAACCTTTTTCACCTGTAGGAGAGCTGGGTCAGTGTTTGGGTAGTTGAGGTCTGCTTCCAGTTTGGAAAACAGAGGAAAGAAGCTTTTCTTAAAGACTACAGTCTTCAGAGACCCAGTAAATCCAGATATAAAACAGCACTGGGGTTTCTTTTAGGTTGGAGAAATGTATGATGTGGCTGCACTACTGGGCCCTGCTGGTGCCTTGCTCTGTAAAGTCTTACCCCTTCACCCCCACCCCACCCACAGCCCAAGTGCCCATGTCGTTGTCCTGGCGCTGTCAGCCTCCACTCCTATGACCCCACAGCAGGACTGGCCTTCTGCTCACCCAGCCCTGCCCTGTCTGGCTGTGGGCCTCCTTACCCAGACCCACTCACTGGTCTGTGTCCCAGCTCCGTCCCTGGCTTGGAATGGTGGGATTGGGTCAGGTAGACAGACCTGTTAGTGGGAATGAGTTCATTCTAGTCCCTCACATACAGAATATTCTGAGTTGGAAGTGACCTGTAAGGATCATCAAGTCCAGCTCTTAAGTGAATGTTCCATGTAGGGATCAAAGCCATGACCTTGGCATTACCAGCACCATGCTTTAACCAGCTGAACTCAAATCAAATAGTTCTAGTCTCCTCAGCAGCAAGGTACAGATCTGCTACCAGAGACAAGTCTTAAGCCTTTTGGTAAAGATGTTTTTGTTTGGTTTTGCACTGTTTCCTATTGAGAAGCCATGCCTTGCTTTAAGTTTGCTTAAGTTGCTTTAAGCTTTCTTTACTTGAAAGGAAAAAAGAAATCAATGCCTGCTTTTAGTTTTGATGCAACATCCATTTCTGCCTTTAGGAGGTAGTTTTCTTGCCTCTGTTCACATAATGCCCCTACTTAAAGCATTTTTATTCTATGTCAAATAATAGTGTAATTTTGGGGTGTGTAGGTTCACTCTTTGTACTATTTACTAACCTGCTTTTTACCTCCGTTATTTATTCTAGATCAACCGAAGAGGAATGCCTCCCAAAGGGGGTGGAGAGATAGTGTTTTCTTGCCCAGTGAGAAAGGTCTTGCAGCCTGTTCAGTTCACAGACCCTGGAAAAATCAAGCGCATCAGAGGAACTGCGTATCCTTTTTGTCTGTTTGTTTCTCTACTTTTTTAAAAGAGTTTGGTTATTAAAAAAAAGTCCCCTACCTTGGAAGTCACAGAAGTGCACCCATGTCTCTGAGCATATATCTGGGTAACACAGGCAAATATTACACAGCGGGGTCATACAGCTAGATTTCAGGGCTGCGTCTCAAAACTCCTGTGTTCAAAACATTGCTGTTCAAAAAGCATCTGTGAGCAAATTCCCAACTGAACAGCACTATTTAAAATCTTCTCAATAGCAAGAAGAAGTTAAAATACCTTCCATTGCATAACCTAGGAGCACTACAAGATATCTCTGTGTGTAAATTCAGTAGTAACCTATGTATTTTGGTTGTACACTGAATAGGTGACATCTTGGCAGTTACTAGTTTAGCACAAGTTAGATGGGAGCTTAAATCTTAGTTCAGTTTACACCTTGCAGCACACAGCTTTTTGGTGTGTTTTGAAAGGAAGCACTTTGGCTCTTCACCTTTGGTAGTACTATTGCAGGTAGAAGTGGAGGAGGTTTTATTTCACAAGGAGATGAGGGCACAAAATACTATTGTGAACTTTTTCAAACAACTGCAAATCTAGTCAATGTTTTGGATTGTTTATTTCTTTTTAATTTTATTTGTTTCTTGTGGCTTTTGTATGGTATATTTCATGAATCTGCTGTCATTGTAGGAAGAAGGCAGAAATTCCATGCATGAAACTGTCTTAAGCAGTGGCCAACATGCAGTTTGTGTTTAAGAGTCCCAAACATGATTTGGCATTGATTACGCAAAAGGAAAGCAGGATTGAGGTTATGTTTTCTGCCAGAGGTGTAGACTTGCACCTGTTTCTTCTTTTACTTCCTGGCATACTGTCACAACTGTGTGTGAGAACTGGATGTTTTGACTACCTTGTCCAGTTGCAGCATTTAGATAAGTGCAGTGTGCCAAGCAAGAACAGTTTTACTGAATGCGTGTGCTGTGGAACAAAAAAGAGGCAGCTCATTGTGCTTTTGGTGATACTTGCTGTGCTACAGTGATGGAGAAAATAGTTTTCTTATGCCTCCATTCTGCTCTGTAGTAAGTAGTTCTATATGTTTCTGTGTGGAGGAGGAAGCAGTGATCATGACTTTACTTCCATTGTTCTAAATTGACATTTACATGCAGTACCATTCTGACCACTTTGACTGGTTTTGGTTGATGTTTCTGATTGAATTTTGAACTGCTACCTTGCCGTGGGCTTTGCTGGGCCTTTTCTCAGGGATATAGATTTGCCTTTAAGCCTGGTGAGAGGCAGTCTCATTTTAGTTTGTAAGTGCTTGTAAGTGGTCCTTCAAGGCAATGGAAAACAAAACATCTGGAAGGATGAGTCCTTATGTTTTTTTTAAGTGTACTTTGTTCCTCCAAGATTCATCTGAGTAATTCTCCTCACAGCTGTGGAGATCATATTACAGCAACCTTTTATATAATCCAAAATATTGAGTGCATCAACTGTGCAGAACAACCTGTTTTCTGATTATTTTTTAGTGATTTTTCCCTGAGATCCTAAAGTTTTTGGTTTGCCTGCTCCACAAGAGATGCTATAGAAATTTGTAGAAAAGGAAATTCCTCCCTGGCAGCTGGGAGTTTTGGGAGTGTGTTTTCCTGCATTTCTGTGTGAATGTATGTGCAGACAGGTGGTTAAATGTGTAGAGCATGAGTCTGCATTATAGCTGGGCTGGAATTTAAAGTCAAATGTCCTCTGAGGATCTGTTGGGAATTTCTCTGAAGCAGCACCTGAGGTACAAGAGCAGAAAGTTTGCCTCTTACGTACTGTGAGGAGGTGGCTTGGGGTGGGTAGGAAGGTGGTAGGTACTTTCCTGGAATCTTCAGAAGCTGAGTGGCTAGAGAGCCAATGAATTTGATAGCCTCAGAACAGAACTGCAAAATAGTTGGAGATAGCAAAGATATTTTTCTTAGAGCCTTTCAATTTTTTTTGTTGGAACATTTGTCTTTAATTTCTTCTTCATCTTCCCAATTTCTCCCTGACAGAAACAGGCAGGATTCTGTGTTGCTGATTCACAGAAACTTTACTCAGCACGATGTTTTAATAAAACATCAAGAGCAGAGCACATGGGACTTCCTCCATCATAAGAAAGTACAAGATGACAGAACAGCAATTTAAATGTGATGAAGGGCATTTTCAAGATAGATGTTTACCTAGCTATAACCTGTTCTTCAGCACATGTTCTGTGTACTTCAAGATATATCAATAAAAAGACTGCAGAAAGCACTTACGTGCATGTGGTTCTCTAGGTACAGGAGCATGGAGAGAAGCCCATGAATAGATGTATCAAACACACATTTTCTGAAATAATGCACTGGGGCCTCTTCACTTTTATCAGTTTCTGCTTTCAATATTTCTTGTGACCACACTAGATTTCTTAGCTCAGAAATGTAGATACTCTGTCCGAGTGTCACCACAGATGGCAAACAGAATGGTGGAATCTGCAAGGGGCATCCTGAATAAATTCCTCCCTGACATCTATATCTACACAGATCATATGAAGGGGGTCAGCTCTGGAAAGTGAGTATCCAGAATTTACAGGAAACAGATGTGTAATTCTGCATTTGTTCATCTGCTAGGGTGTCCTGATCTAATTTTACTGAGTTTTAGATCACAATCTTCTATTTTGTTGATTTTAAATAAATATTTCTCACAAAGAAAGAAAGCAAGGGTGATTTACTAGATACATTTGTTTTACTTATATGACAGGGATAGAAGTGTGTTTTCCTAAACAAGAAGTGCAGTACATCATTGCATTACGTTACACTGCCACAAAAGTCAATTTGAGCTCCCTTTGTTTTTACATCTGTTGCTTTGAAGAGAGATTAAGATCAAAGGTGTCATGATATGTTCAGGAAACCAAGTTGACTGGACCCTTTGATGGAAATGGTAATATTAAGGATGGGACCGAGGTGTTTTGAGGAAGTGTTAAAGCAGTACGGGTTGTGTTCTGCTGAATGGCTGGAGGAGTGTCTCTCATTAGTGAGGACTGGAAAATTAACTTATTGTACTTCCACAGATTCTATTTGCTATCAGGACACAGAAGTAGTGGATGTGATTCAGCCAATTTTGCTGGTATCTGTCATTTCTGTTGGCCTCTTGTTACTCTTCCTTGAGGTTGAAAGATTCTGGGTAACTCATTTTTTGTCTTCTGTCTGTATGCTCAAATGCAGGCATGCATGTTTTCTTCCACTGTTTCTGCTTTTTGAAATATTTCCTTAAAATTTTTTAGATTCAAAAGTTTATGAATCTAGAAATTATTGAATAATTTTCTAGCATTTTTTTGTCTTTTCCAATCCTTCATCATATTTAATATGCCAGGTTTGTAACTTTAATGGCTCTAGACTGTTTACAGGATCAGAATTGAAAAAAATTTTCTGGGAGCTGTGTGGTTATCGGGTCTTGATTTTGTTTCTCATCTGTTTATGATATTTAAAAAGTCAAATGAATTGGGGCAGCAACATAATTTTTACTACATATAGCTCATGCAGACGGATAAACAATAGCATGGGAAGAGGAACTGAATCCCTATCAACCTGTGTGGCTGGGTTTCTGATGCTACTGTGTTGTAGACACATATTAAGTATGAGTCCAGTATGATAACAGTATTCTTGATACTAATTAGTCTAATCTTGCTAAATACTGTAGCTTCCAGGGAAAAAAGCTGAAGTCTTAAAGAAGGATAGTTTTGGTTTTGAATGTCACAGAGAAGAGACACCAGATACCATTGAAATGTTTATCAAATACAGACTAAATAAATGTGAAACATATCCTCCTCTATTTAAAAAAATAAACAACAAAAAACAACAAACACTTCTGAGGTTTGTGTGGCTTTTTATTTTCTTTTAAATTTTTCCTGTATAAAGAGTATGGAAAAAACAGCATAGAGGGTTTTGTGGCAAGTGGTAGTGGATTTGACTTTCAAGTACTGCTGTTAATTTTCTTTTTTCAGCGTCAATCTATAGTATCAAATAGGACATTTGTCATCCTGTAGGAGGAGCTGTTTATAACTTGAAGTTCTTGGCTCATTACTCCAATTTTGTCCTTAAATGAAATGTACTTTTTCCCTTTCTTTCAGATCACCAGGTTTTGGCATGTGCCTTACTGCAGAAACCATCAATGGCACTATTCTCAGTGCTGAGCTAGCCTCAAACCCTCAGGGCCAGGGAGAAGCTGTGCTTCCTGAGGAACTGGGCCAGAGTTGTGCTAAGCTGCTGCTTGAGGAGGTCTACAGAGTAAGTGGCCAATATATTTTGTATGTGTGTGTATAGATGTAAGGGAAGGAGGTGATAAAATAGGTAAGGGGATAGGTGGTTTTGGGGCACCCTCAGACAGGCTCAGATCTAAACAGAAATGATCTGATGCTTCCAGTGTTTTTTTCATCCTGGTAAAGAGTGGTTTTGCATGGTTCCTTTTACAGTGTAATGACCTACTGGGGCATGTTATTTGCAATGTCTGATATGTGTTATTATGAATCACAGGAGTGGCAAATTCTTCTGTTACTTTCTGTCTGCAGCAGAATTCAGTTAGCCTCGCATGGAATGTTATTTTTTTTTAATAATATGGATGGGTAATATTATATTTTAATTATATATGCAGTGCTTCTAAACTAGTGGTTGGAATGGGACATTATGAGTGGAAGAACATAGGAGGGGGCAGAAGGAGAAAAAAGCCTGGCAAGGCTCCACCCCTGTTGGCGACTTCGTGATGCTGAGTCAGATGTGTTGAGAATTGTTGGTTGTTTGAAGAATTGTCTTAGTGGGTTGTTGGAAGGGAGCTAGGATGGCATTTACGTAGGAATCCTAAATGCGTCACAGTTTTCTTTATCAGAGACCTTTTTCTTTATTAAAATGGTTTTCATTTGTGGCATGAATTTTAGTGGATGAGCAGCTTTCAGTGTTACAAATGATTTGGCAAATAGCACCCTGATAAGTTTCTGATTTAATAAAGAACCTTTCAGCTGCTTTGCTTTGTATCTCCACAAATGTTTAAATAATTATGTTTTAGTATTGATAAAACACGTTTGGCCTTTAGGAGGCAGTCATCTACAAATTTTGCTTGTTATTTAAAACAACAAGTAGTTAATCTGAACTGTAATAACCTATGTGACTTGGCAAAGTGTTAAAACTGGCATTATTGAGATTCTGTATTAGGGAATGTAGCTAAATATCAAAAAAGCCCCTCAACCTCATAAATCACATCTATACCTGTGTTAAATTGTTAATCTCTGCCTCTATTATTTTTCCCTTTCCCTGTTGCAAATCTCCCACGTGTTTGAATTACGAGTTGGCCACTTTTTCCAGTCTTCCATTAATACTTTATCTTTGCTTTTTCAGTATATAAGCGGTGTTGCTAAAGGACTTTTCTAGCCCAGGTTTCTTGTCTCAGGGAAATGCCACAACCAAAATGTTGTTCCTGGGTACATTCTAGACTCCTTGTATTTGAAAGTCCAGCATGCATGGAGAATGTAGTCACAACTAGTGACTGAAATATGTCTGTTTCTGCAATTATGTAATGTCATGTAGTAATTTTTATTTCAGGTGTAAACTGTAAAAATCTTTTGGTACATTTATTTGTGTAAATGTCTTGGAAAACATCTTCAGGTAATCAGATGTCCAGAGGCATCAAAAATCCAGTTTCCACATACTTTTATCAACAACAATAGGTGTTTTTTTTTCTTTGAAACCATTTGCACTTGACAGATTAAAACTAGTTGAAACTAGTGCAGAAATTTGTCCAGATATTATGTTTTGCACAGGGTCAGATGTCAAAGAACTTATGAAATGAAGGGGTCTGGAAAGGCCTAAAGCAAGTAACTTTTTGCTTCAGTGTATGCAGCCATTTGAATATGAAGAGTCAAATTCTGTAAAAGTGAGAATCTTAAGACAACAGGAGAAACATTTTGAGGAGGAAGCAGGGTCAAACAAGTCTTTGAATCATAAAGTAACAGTCTGTTGGGTTTCAGTGTCTTTGAAGATCAGATTTTGAGTTAGTGAAGTTGTTAGCTTTGGCTTCCTATAGTACTGCTGGTGCTCCTGGAATACTCCTCTGTGTATGGGTGACTTCTGTCCAAGAGTCACTGAGAAATGCTGAGCAGTGTACAGACTATTTGTCCTTCACTACAGCAGCCCGCTCTGGGAAAGTTCTACTTTGTTGGCATTTTTGGCTGTTGTGCTACTTTTTCACTGCATTGCTTAGCCATTATTTAGTGAATTCCCCCTCTCCCTCCATCATAGGCAATATGATGGATTTTGTTACATAGTTTTCACAATAAATACTAGAATTTATGTATGACACGCATGGTCCTACAGTGCTAGCCTGAATTTTGAAAGATAAGATTTCTTTCTTATTTTCTTTCTTTCGTATTTTTGGGGGTTAGTTATTATTTTGTTTTGGAATGGGCTTTTTTAGGGTGTTTGGTTTTTGGACACTTTTTGTTTGGGGTGGATTTTTTGTTTGTTTGGTCTTTTCAGGTTTTTTTTTTGTTAGGTCACTTTGATTTAGGGTTGAACAGAGATGATGAAAAAACATGTTGCAAAGTGCAGTATTTGTTTAGGTGTAATATAGTATTTTTTATGTTTATTTGATTATGTATGATTTTTAATGAAACTAAAAATCTGAAAAAGCAAGAATGGATTGCTCTGAGCAGGTAATCTTTAAGTCCCACATCTTTTTACAACACCTACTTGTTGAATACAGGGCTCAAGGGAGAATTTATTTTCCTGTTTTTAGATGTTCTTTTTATGAGATTATTTCATCATCTGTGTTTTTGCCAGTAGGTACTATGTTATGTGGGAGACAGGGAGGTTGGCCAGACAAGGGCACCCTGAAAGCACTAGAGACAATTGTCTGTAAAATGGCTTTAGGTGTTGGGTTCACCCACAAATCTGCTGGAGTAGGAGTTGCTGTTGAAAGGGGTCCAAGGACATTTTGTAAAGTGCTTGCTATTGTGTAAACTTTACCATCTAGGAAATCAAAGGATTTGAGTCTTTCTAAATGTCATTTTACTAAGCCTTCAAAACTATATTGAATAGATTGTATGATTCTTGGAATCAGCAGAGCTCTTTTAATAAACATTTGTTGATGGAAAGATGTCAGAGCTAGTTGACTAATAAGTTCCACAGGGTCTTAATTGCAGTGGCTCTGCAAGAGGGGGCAGTGGAGTGACTGACTAGTGTTGTCATTACAAATCCATATGCAGTTCTTTCTGAAGCTTAATTGTAGAAGGCCAGTAAGGATTTTAACTCTTGTCTTTCAAAGACATTGTTTATGGGAGCTTTATGTAGAGACTAATTGGCAGAATGGAAAGGCCTGGAAGAACTGGAAAAGGATTTAATTTTTATATTCTTTGTAAACATGAAAAATAGGGGAGTACATGTACCTATTTAAGGCTGAATTCTTTAATGAAGAAAGGCCGAGTTGCTAGGGGACCTTGAAGGGGCATGAAGGCTAAAGCTGTTTGTTTTATTGAGCTAGAGCTAAAATGACTGAAGGATTTAGTTGATGGCTCAATTTTCAAGATGGTCTTACTTCAGTGTGGTAAGGCTTTGCTTCATTCTTCTGGAAGAAGAACCCAAATCCCAAAAACCAAAATACAAACCCTCTGCAACAATTTGTTACCCTTCGCATAACAAATTATTGAGTCCTGCAAATATGTACTACACAGGTAAGGGAAGAAATTGTGTTTATGACAAAATATAACTAACACTCAGTCAAAGCTGAGCTGAAGCTCAGAGAAATAAACCTTTTTGAAACACTGTTGTCCAGTACACAGAGTTGTGATATGTGTATGTACATGTCAACTGTAGTATTTGTATAGCATTTAAAAATAGATGGGATTTTAAGTGATCTGTGTCTAATTGTCACAGCTAGCTGGATCTAGCTCTGTAGTCAGTGTAAACAATAATGGAGAAACTGCCATAGACTAAATTATTACAGTCTAGAAGCTGCATTCTGCATTGGTAATGAGTGCCAGCTATTTTGGAACAAATGTACCTTGGCTCTGACTTTGCCCATCCCATTTCTTTTGGGAGGGCTGTTTTTAATTTTTGACTCTTGAGTAAGTGGCAGGTGGCTTGATAATAAAAAAACTTGGTTGGCCTTCTTGGGAGTGTTAAGTCCTTCACTTGGCATAAGTAACAGTTCAGTCATTAGATTACAAGCAATCACTTAATGTCACTGTCTGGGGACTGCGTTTGTAGGAATGGTGTTGCAAATGAGTGGTTTAGATCGCTTAAATCACTGCCAAAAGTATCATCAAAAGCAACTTTTTTGTATAAAATTGTTGATGTGCAATGAAGTTTGATGGCAAGGTTACTATTGCTTATTACATAGATGAGGCACACAAAGAGAAATCAGCTTAGAATGAATCTACAATGATTTATGCAGAGAAAGGGAATGCAAAAAGGGTAAGGATGGAAAAGGATAAGAATGCAAAAGGGTAAGGGAGGTCCTTCCTTTGGGTTACAAAAGTGGACCCCTTGCAAAATGTAGCCACAGACTTGATCAACAATTTGTCTAAAGAATGTAGCAGCATTTAATCATTGACTGCTGGAATGCTGACAGAATCAAATACTTCTATAAAGTGTATGTGCACTAGTGTGGGGAACAAACAAGATGAGCCAAAGACCTACATGCAGTCACAGGGCTTTTATCTTATTGTAGTGACAGAGACATGGTGGGATAGTTCATGTGAGTGGAATGTTGGCATAAAGGGCTACACCCTGTTCAGGAGAGACAGACCAGGAAGGCAGAGTGACAGAGTTGTCCTCTGTGTGAGGCAGCACCTGGAACATAATGAGTTCTGTCTTGGTGTGGATGATGAGCTTATGGGTCAGGATAAAAGGGCAGACTAAGAGTGACACTGTTGTGGGTGTTTGCTGCCTGATCAGGAGGAGGAAGTGAATTAGGTCATCTACAGGCAACATGGAGCAGCCTCAAAGCCACAGGCCCTGGTTCTTTTGGGAGACTTTAAGTACCCTGCCATCTGCTGCAGAACCAGCACAGTGAAACACAAACAGCCCAGGAGGTTCCTGGAAAGCACAGATAACCATTTCCTGACACAGGTAGTGGAGGATCCCACAGGGATCACAGAGTGCTGCTCAACTGATGCTAACAAACAGGGAAGGCCTTGCTGGAGGTGTGGCCATGAGAGTGTGGAATTCAGTACTGGATGAGGAGAAAGCAGGGCAGCAAGTAAGTTTACAACCACAGACTTCAGGAGAGCTAGCTTTAGCTTCTGCAGGGATATCTTTGTCGCTCTGTTGGGAACGGTGAGAAGAACGACACAGACTCTCTTGTGGAGTCGAACTGGAGAATTTCTCTCCGTTTATTACTTCTAATCTTTTTTATAGACCGATACGTGAAAGTACAGAAAAGTAAACTAACAGAAAACTCTTATTGGTTAATAAACTAACACATCACCATCATTGGTCAGTGGGGTACACCACCCCTTGACCTTCTCTAGCAAGAAGACAAGGAACAGACAAACAGCACCCGCAATGCTGTTTTCTATCTCTGAGGATTGTTTTAATTCCTCTTTATGATTTCCCAGGCCACTTTCTCAGGCAAGACTGAGAAAGTTATGTAGCCTGCTATTCCACAGACACCGTGCTGCCTGCTTCACAGTTAGCATCCATATATCTTCATGAAAAATGTCATGGGAACAAGCCCCACAGGGTCCAGGAGACTCTGAGAGGACCAAGAGAGTTGGTTGATATTCGAGGATCACTTCCTTCAGGCTCAAGAACAATGCTTCCAAATGTGCAAGAAATTGGGCAAAGGGGAAGAGATCTGATGGATAAATAAAGAAATTCTCTCAATATCAGGGGTAAGCAGGAAATACACAGGAACTGGGAGCAGGGTCAAATCACTTGGAATAAATATATAGAGGTTGTCAGGGTATGTAGAAAAGAGATAAGGAAAGCCAAAGTCCACCTGGAATTAAGTCTGACAAAGAATGTCAAGGACAGCAAGAAAGGCTTTTTCAAATACATCAGTAACAAAAGGAAAAGGGATAATAAGGGCCTGACACTAAATGGAAATGGAACCCTGTTAACAGAGGACACAGAGGAGGCAGAGTGAGTGAATGCTGCCATTGCATCTTCATCACTGACAAGACCAGGCCTCAGGGATCTCTGACCCAGGAGACTAGGGAGAAGGAGGGATTGAAGGAAGGCTTTCCCTTGCTCAAGGAGGACTGAGCTGGATTCAGGCAAACCTGGCATCCACAAGTCCATGGGCCCTGATGGGATGCACGCACGAGTGCCTGAGAGAGCTGATGGACACCAGAGATGGGCAATTTACAAGCATCTTTGATCAAGAGAAGTACCTGAGGACCAGAAGAAAGCAAATGTCACTCCAGTCTTTAAAAAGGGCAAAGGAGGATAACCCAAAAAACTAGCAGCCAGTCAGCCTGATATCAGTCCTTGGGAAGGTGATTCTGGAGGCCATTTCTATCTACATGAAGGACAAGAAAGTGAACAGGAGTAGTCAGCATGGATTCATTAGAGGTAAATCATACTTGACTGACCTGCTTCCCTTCTATAATGAAACAACTGGATGGATGGATGGATGGATGGATGGATGGATGGATGGATGGATGGATGGATGGATGGAGGGAAAGCAGTGGTTATTGTCTTCCTTGACTTCAGCAAGGCTTTTGACACTGTCTATCGCAACATCCTCATAGGCAAACTCAGCAAGTGTGGATTAGATGAGTGGACAGTGAGGTGGATTGAGATCTGGCTGAATGGGAGATCCCAGAGGTTGTAATCAGTAACACAGGGTCTGGCTGGAGGCCTGTCACTAGTGGTGTCCCCAAAGGTTAAATACTGGGCCCAATATTGTTTAACTTCTCCACCAATAGCTTGAACAAATGCACAGATGTCTTCCCAGTGAGTGCACTAATGACACAAAGCTGGAATGAGTGGCCAATACCCCAGGGGGCTGTGCGGACCTTCAGAGGGACCACAACAGGGTGGAGATGAGCAGAGAAGAACCTCCTGAAACTCGGCAAAGGCAAATGCAGTGGGCCTGCACGTGGGGAAGAATAACCCTGGGCATGAGCAGAGGCTGGGAACTGACCCACTGGGGAATAGCTCTGTGTATCTTGATGGACAGTGAGTCAGCAGTGTGTCATGGTGGCCAAGAAGGCAAATGATATCCTGGGGTGCATTAGGAAGAGCACTGACAGCTGTTGGAGGGAAGTGATCCTGCCCCCGTACTCAGCCCTGGTGAGGCCACATATGTTGTGCTGTGTCCAGTTCTCAGGATGAGAGACAAGGTGTCCCTGGATCAAGTCCAGATGACACGACAAAGATTATGAAAGGACTGGAGCATCTCTGTTACGAGGAAAGGCCAAGAGAGCTGCATCTGTTTGGTGTTGAGAAGAGAAGACTGAGAGGGGACCTTATCAATATATCTGGAGGGAGGGTGCCAGGAAGATGGATCCAAGCTCTTGGTGGTGCCAGGCAATAGGCAAGAGACAACAGACAGAAACTCATGCATAGGAAGTTCTACCTGAATACGAGGAAGATATTTTTATATATCCTTTACCGAGCAGGTGGTTGTACATTTGAACAGGTTGCCCAGAGAGGTTGTGGAGTCTCACTCACTGTCTGGATGCAATCCTGTGCCATGTACTCAATTAAGAGATGGCAACAAGTACTATGCTTGCTGTAGCGTATTTAAATCAATTCATACATGCACACACGTAGACATAAAGATGTATATAAGTTTAGTAAAATATGTCAGATGGCTTTGTACCTGTCAACACGTGAAGAGTTAAGCTTTGAGGGTTGAGTGTATCAGCCCAGGCCCTGTCAACAGCTTTTGGTGATTTTCTCCAAGTACTGCAGACTTGAGGGTTGTTGAGCTTCAAGAGGTGTACCACTTAGAGGGAGGTGCTGCTGAAACTTGCTGAGGCCTTGAAGAACTCAAAGACCCTTACCTAGTACTGCTGCCTATAGTGTTATGAGATGCTTGGCTTTAGCCTTCTGTCATTCTCTGTTCTGGCCACAGTCTGGGTCAGTTGTTACTGGAATTTTCATCAAAAAGTGCAGTAACAATAGTATTGTTCCACCTGGGCTATGATTTAGACAAAAATAATGTTCCAAGGCTGTCCATTAGAAAACAGCAGTTTGTTAGGCAGTTCCTAGGGACAGACTCTTTCTGGTGATTTAAAAAGGAACTTAACTGCCCAGGAACCATTAATCAAGGTCAGTGTCTAATACGAATTCCTGAGGAGATTGTAGAGTGGCCCAAGGGGATGGGGGTGGGGAATGTACCACCACAAATGGACATAACAGATTGCTACTGCACAGCAGTACTGGAGGTGACTGACTCACTGCAGCGAGAGAGCTTATGTAAGCAGTTAGGACATGATGGATGCATTGTGTTTTGATATATTTCTTAGGACATGGTTATCTCCATGCTGATTGAAGTTTTTGTATGAATTTGGTTATAAAAGTAGATACTTTATAATATTTTCAGCTGTAGAGAAACAAAACAGGCCCAGAGAATGTGAAGCTTTCATCCAAGTAGTAAGAAGCATTTTGAATTACTAGCTAAACTATAACTACAGAGAGTCCAGTGTCAGGAATACTCCTTACCAAACCCTTATCTGCTTCTTGTATGTATTTCTCTTTGGCAAATAAAACTGGTGAGATCTGTGGCTCTAGACTGCACCTGCAAATTCTGCAAGTACGCTGTTCACTCAAGATAAAGCACAATTTTTATCGATCCCATAGGTTTGAGTATGTGAACTTCATTTTGGTATGGCAAGTTCACACAGTTAAAAGGGCAAGTACTGCTGTAAGAGCATGTTTTATGAATTGGGTCATGGTATTGAATGTAATAGAGCTACTTATTTTGCTGTGCTGTAGTTCATTGCATGAAATGCAGATTTTTTTTTCAGAAGAATGGAGCTGAGGCTTGTCACACAGAAGCAAGGCCATCCTGAAAATAAAATCTTCAGAATCCTCCCTTGGAAAGGCTCTCCCTTTCGGCCTCTCACTGACTAAATGTGTTGAGGTTGTCACACTGGCTGATTCTCTTAATCTATGTAGTCCGAAATTTATTTTTTCTTTTGCCTTCTTGGATAGTGTTATATCTTGAAATTATTATAGGTTACCTTTGTCAACAAAGGTAGCTGTCAGTTTACCTCATTAGAGGATTTGGTTTTAAAAATAAGAGCTTTTAGTTTCAGCCTCTCCTAAGAGCCTATTCAAAGGATGTAGCATTAGGCCTGATGCAGCAGAACACTGTTCATAGATTTCATATGGCTGTGGATCAGTATGAATATAAGAACAGTCCAAAATAATGACAGATTTTTTTCTATTTTCAGTGGTTTTGCATAGCCGTAGTTGGTAAATAATCTCTACAGCAGCCTTGACCGAAAATATCCCTTTAAATTTATATATCAGCTTTGTAAGCAATTCTTATTTATAATTCTAGCCTTCCAGTTCTAATTAATGTATGCATCATAGTAAACACCTTCCACATACAGAACAATTTACATTGCATATGACTTACTACAGTCAAATATGTACAAGAGCATGTGTGGTTCTACTTAATTTTATGTGTGGCTCTTTCACTTAGCAATTAAAAAAAAAAAGTTTCAATTTAATTATGGAGGGGAAATGTTTTACAAGTCTAAGCCCCCAAAAGTTGGCAGCAAGGGGTTTTGTGGGTTTTTTTTTTTAAGTTTGCTAAAACTGAACTGTTTGTCCAAATATAACTATCGTTATCATAAAGGGCTGGAATTCATGGATCTTCAGACACATGTGAACTAAAACTAATACTTCTTTTCGGTTTACTGCAAAGAAATTCTTCAGTGTTTACATTGTGGGATGTTAGAATAGGAGGGATGTTTCACCTTCTTATGGGTTTTGATTTAGTTCTGGTCTTGTCCCAGCCTGCCATGTGAACTTGATTTGTTGTTGTTAAAAAAATCTAGATTTTTTTTTTTTCTTGTCCCTTAAAAATTGGGAGTGGTATTTCAGCCTTTTAAGTGTATCTTTTGCCTTTGTTACTCTCCTCCCATCCCAATTTCTGGTTTGTACAGAGATTAATTATTAAAACATTTTGGTTTGCAGGGAGGCTGTGTAGATTCAACAAATCAGAGCCTTGCTCTGCTCCTTATGACACTTGGACAGCGGGATGTTTCCAAAGTCCTGTTGGGACCTCTGTCGCCATACACGTAAGTTGTTATGTTCAGTTCAATTACACATCTTTGTTTTAATTCACTGGTCTTATTTCACAGCTATTTTTATACATGGAAGACTTTGCCTGTGCTAACAAATAGAGTAACTAGTACCTGACTTCAAATGAGACAAGTGGTATAAGTTGCCTAGAGTTTGTTTCTACATGTTAGATGAGTTCCTTACTGTTCTCTATTATTCCTGTTTCTAGGAATTGCAGAGACAGGGTTTATTGATGGTTCTTTACCTGGAATGTATGTGTACATCAGTTGGCTTTTTGTTGCCTAGGGTACACTACTATGTTTTTCCTAGTGATCTCTCTGTAGCTGTATCATTAAATGCCGTATTTCATATGGCTAGCCAAACTCTAAGGCTGCTATTTTTCCTATTAAACAGCTTAAGACTTCAATTCATGGAGCTGTTTCAAGGTTTTATTGGACAGCAGAATCCTATCTGGTCCTTCAGTCTCAGTTTTTACTAAAGCTTTGTCTGTAGCTGATAGTTGTTCAGAGGATAGGAAAAAAAATAATTTCTTATATTGCTAGTTGTAACACAGGTTACAGAATCACAGAATCATCAAGGTTGGAAAATACATCTAAGATCATCAAGTCCAACTTTTGACTGAACACTATTTCTTAAATAGACTGTAGTGCTAGGTCTGGTTGTTTCTTCAACACTTCCACAGATTGTGACTCCTTCAGCACTCATTTCAATTCTTAACAACCCTTGCAGTAAAAAAACTTTTCCTGATATCCAACCTTAACCTTCGCTGGTGCAGCTTGTGGCTATTTCCTCTAATCCTATCATTTGTTGCCTGGGAGAAGAGACCAAACCCTCACCTACCCTTTCAGGCAGTTGTGTCTCCCCAGTTGTGTCTCAGTTACAGAGTACTAGTGTCTCCCCTGAGCCACCTTTTCTCCAGGCTAAACACCCCCAGCTCCCTCAGCTGCTCCTCATAGGACTGGTGTTTCAGACCCTTCACCAGCTCCATTGCCCTTCTCTGGTCTCCCTCCAGCACCTTGGTGTCTTTCTTGGAGTGAGGGGCCCAAAACTGAGCACACAGTTCAAGGTGTGGCTTCCCCAGCCCTGAGTACAGGGAACAATCCCTGCCTGCTCCTGCTGGCCACACTATTGCTGGCACAGGCCAGGGTGCCATTGGCCTCCTTGGCCACCTGGGCACTGCTGGCTCCTGTTCAGCTGCTGTCACCAGCACCCCCAGGTCCTTTTCCTCTGGGCAGCTTTCCAGCCACTCTGCCCCAGCCTGTGGCACTGCCTGGGGCTGTTGTGACCCGAGGGCAGGACCCAGCTCTGGGCCTTGTTGAACCTCACAGCACGGCCTTGGCCCATGATCCAGCCTGTGCAGATCCCTCTGCAGAGCCTGCCTGCCCCCCAGCAGATCAACACTCCCACACAGCTTGGTGTCATCTGCAAACTGGCTGATGTTTCAACATCAGTTGTTGAAATTGATGCAGCACACTGGCTGGTGTTTCAACACTCAATCTCCCCATCCAGAACTGGCCCCAGTTCTGAGCCCTGGGGAGCACCACCGGTGACTGGCCACCAGCTGCATTTGCCTCCATCTACCACCAATCGCTGGGCCCAACCATACAGATGGTTTTTTAGGATAGAGGATACCCATCCAAGCCATGGGCTATTACTGTAGTTCCCTGGGTCTTTTTTCTGACCCTGCTGGTATGAGCATCACACTGGACAACTTCCAGTCATCTGGGACCTGCTCAGTTAGCCAGGACTGATGCTACGCGATGGAAAGCAGCTTGCTGAGCGCTTCTGCCAGCTTCCTCAGTACCCTTGAGTGAATCCCATCCAGTCCCATAGACATCTGAGTGTCTAAATGGCTCGGTACTTCATGTATTGCAGAAGATCTATTCTGCTCCCTGACCCCAGCTCAGGGGGCTGGTGGCCCTGAGGATAAGAGTCTTACCATTAAAGTACCTCAGTCTTTTCCTCATCCTTGGTGATGATGTTCCTCTCTGCATCCAGTAAGCATGAAGATTTTCCTTGGGCTTCCTTAAGCTTTTAAGGTATATATAAAAACACTTTTTATTATCTTTCACAGCAGTGGCCAAATTGAATTCTAGGAGAAACTTGTTAGGGAAACAGCATCCATTATCAAAACTTTAATTTTTCAGATTTGCAAGAGATTTACTAAATCACAGTTTTTTTCCTAGAGACTGAGCAGTTATTCTTTAGTCAAATGAGGGGAGGTCTGTTTATCTGACAATGGCATCAAATAGTAAGAGTATGAACTGTCCTTTTTCGGTTATCATGGTACCGATGCTGTATACGTGAAAGGTACAGTACTGTGATAACTGAAGAATGGTGGTGCCATCACATGAGAGCTAAAAATTACCTAACTGCTCCTCTCAACTCCTGATACCTTGGAAACAACATTCATCAGATTTTGAGGGAAGGCAGGGAAGTGTCCCATTGCACAAAAGGGAAGTAATCCCCTGTAAAGTAAGTATTCATGTGGAAGGTTTCAGAAGAGTAGATATTAGTGTTTGAAGTTCACAGTTAAGTATATGAGACAGTCCAATCAGTTGTCATTGTATTTTTTAATTTTTTACCCTTATTTTGTTCTGCAAAAATCAAGTAAATGCATTAGTTTATTTTGTAAGCAGGCTGAGTTCAAGTTGGTGGGTTGTCACTTCTTCCAAGCTAGGTGTATTCAGCAGGGATAAAGGTCAGGAGTACACATACAGAAGCAGTACATCATAAAATCTATGTTTCTGTGAGAATCTGTGATTCATCAGTCCTGTGAGGATCTGTTCAGATAGAATGCAGCTTTTTATACAGCACCCCCATGCCCTCAACTAAGACTGCTTATAGGGGGCTGGTAAATTTGGCTCCAAAGCAACTCATTGGACACACAAGCTTATGAAGTAAATTGCCATATTGCCATGTTCCATGTCCTTGTTTCTTCTTTTCTCTCAGCATTTGTCTCATGTCTCTGAGACATTTAACACTTTCACCCTACAGAATCTGATGTTACTTAAAAGCTATGTTATGCTAGATTGTCTTCTCTGTCCAGCATAAAACAGCATGAATGTGACAGTTCAGCTGGCTGCTGAGAGCATCACATGGGGACAAAATGCTCTGGAATATGTCCATTAGAATGAGGAACTTTCTTATTTTCATGAGAGATATCTGCTGCCTCAACTAACAATGGGGAGTGGAAGGGCAGGCAACACCATGAGCAGCACCAAGGCAACACCAAGACAGCAGGGCTGTGTTGAGTGGCAATGGGTCCAGTCTGCATGACCATCAGCTGTCTGCATTACCCCTTTCTTAGCATCCATATTTCACAGAAGCAAGTGCCTTTCTGTCAAGCTGAGCTTAAAATCAAGTGCAGGGTGCTGGCCATGCCACTAACTCACAGAGGTCAGTCTGACAGGACAGACCTGTCTGCAGACAGGTGGATCAGCATGAGCCAGTGTTATTTGAAGAACAGCAACAGGAAAGCCTGAGTGCCCCAATCCATGGCTTTGCAACGGTTTAGGGGCTTCAAGAGGTGGGGTTAGGATGCCTCTGCCTCTGTCAGCCAAGCTGACACTTTCAGTTTCTCCTCTGATGATGATGCCCAGAAACAGAAACATTTTCTCCCCCCGACCCAACCTTTTTCCTTTCTCAGCTGATACCGTAGAGACAAAACCTGGGATGTTAAAGCAGAACCAGCTATACAATAGTCTTTTTCATCAGTTTCTGTAGGGAGAGGAGTTTCCTCTTGTCATTCTATGGAGAGTTCTCCACAAGAAAAGTTTTCTCATGGCTTTTCATTTTTATGATTGGCAGCCACCTGGGAAAAAACTCTGCCATCATGCCTTCCTCTCATTTTCAGAAGACTTAGAGGTGTGTTCATGGGCCATCAACTCAAGGGGTATTATTTTGAGTTATTCAAAGGCAAAGGTTCTTTTCATCTGTCTCTGTGATCATCTCTGGGAACAGAGGTTTTTCTTCTTCTTTCCCCTGGGGCAAAGGGTCTTCATCAGCTCTCACTTCTCTTTCTCTCTGTTCAGGCATCTCATGGGATCACAGTTACTGCACCATCTGCTTAGCTTCATCAATGGATACCTCTGCTCAGATCTACAATTTGAATTCTTCATCCCCCCCCAATACTCATTCATTAATTAAAGGAGTTTTTCAGAACATTATTGTCCATCTTCATGGCCCAACCAAAAGAGTATTTCAGCTTATTAAAGCATCTCCTCATTCTCCTTCCATCTGAGGCTTGACTCTTTCTCTTACTGACTTGATGTTTCTTGTTGTCTTTTACATGTCAATCACTCCCACTTTCCTCTCTCTGGAGAGTTGATTAAAGTCTCTAGGTCTCATCTGTGTAGTGAAAGGGTTGAATCTGGCCCAAGCCTCGGCCAGGTATTGATGGTGTCAGATTTCAAACCGCTTTGGTGCCTCTTTCAGCCCAGAGCGAATGGTCCTTGGCCTGGAGCTCTCTGTGCAGGCCATGGGGGGAAATATTGGCGAGATGTCAGCAGCTGTGGCCTGGCCCAGCCTAGGGCTGGGGGTCCCCTGGGAAGGGCTTCAGCCACCCCACTGGAATGGGACCTGGAGGGTTTCCTGGGAGGGGCTGCAGCAGAGCCTGGCCCAGCCTGGGGCCAGGGGGAAGCCCTGCAGCCTCCATCCCCTGCCCAGGAGCTGCTGCCCAGCCTGCACGGGGCCGCAGAGGCCATGGGGGAGCAGGACCAGCCACACTAGAGTGCCGATACTTTTGAAAGCCAGAAAGAAAGAGATAAGCAGTTCCCAGGCTTTTTTAAAGGTGGTATTCACAAAGTGATCTCACTTTTCAGTGGTTAAAAATGCTGTCAGTTCTGAGAACTGCCCAGCTACTGGCCTGATCTCAAGCAGAGAAGAAGCTCCCAGCAGCCTCTCTCAAGTAAATCACTTCAGTTGGTGTTTTCCACTTTGTTTTTCTAAATGCCAAACTACCACAGAAGGTCTCTGGCAGGACTCAGGAGAGCAGTCCTGGGGCTGCCAGTACTACCAGGCAAAGCCCTGTGCAGGTCCCAGGGCAGCTGAACCAAGAATGCACTGCTGGTGCACAGGTCTTCTCTCACACTGGTCTGTTAGTTGTTTGCTTTGCCCAGTATGTGAAGTTCTTTTGTACTTTTTGGTAATTCTTAGCAGGCTTTGGGTAAAAGACAGCACTTAGATAAACAGGCCTTTTACTCTTGTTGTTGGCTGTAAGGCCTCCAGTGTGGCTCACATAGTTGTCCCTGCACCTAAGGAGTAGTTCTGTTCAGTTGCTGCCTTGTTCTTGCCTGAACACACAGTGTAAATTTTCAGCAAAATAAACCTTCTCTGTACCTTTCACCCCCTCCCTCAGTCCTCCAGCCTGTGTCTGTGTGGTTGGTGCAGCCTGCACTCTTACTGGAGGTGTCCACCCGTGACCCAGACCAACCTCAGAGCTATTGCAAGCTTGCTTTCTCTCACATACCCCTACCTTCCCGCCTCTTTCTCTTCTATTTTCAGGGCTCACACCATTTGTGCTTCCACTGCTACAAGACAAAGCTGGCCTTTTGCTGCTTCTACATTCTCCCTTGATGTCCCCAGGCAGCCTGCCCCTTGTTTGCACTCCAGCAAGCCTTTCTCATGTACATGAGGGCTGATATTTTTCTCACTCTGCCTTTATTTAAAAGGGAGAAGAGGCAGAGATGCAGGGTCGACCACCTATGTGCAAAGAGAGGTATTGGACTCAACTGATCCCACCAACATGTTGCAGAGTTTCCTGATCACCTTTTAGGATTTTTCCCTGAGTCTCTGGCCTCCACATGGCCTCTGGCATTTTAACAGTTTATTCTGTGCCCTCCTTGCAGTTCAGCATGCTACTCCTGCTGTTTTGGGGTTGGCTGCTTTCTTGTCACACTGCCAGAGCCTCTGAGAGGACTCAGCTAAGGAGAAGGTTGATACAGATCTTGTTGACTGTCAGCTTTACTGGACCATTTGTGCCAGCATATGCCCATTTGCCTACTATAGCTGCAATCAGAAACCTTGGAGCTGGGGAGGCACAGAAGAAAAGGTGCTTCTCAGTTCTTCCTTTCAACTGTTAGTCCATCTGAGAGATGAGAGAGCTGGTGTCTGTGCTGAGGCAAGCTATCAGTCCAGGAAGGTGCAAGAGAAAGTATACACAGCACTGGGAGAAATGTTCCCACATTCACCCTGCAGAGGTATTTAGCAGATTGCCTCAGAGATAAGATCATCCCAAGCACACACCAGTATGGGTAAAGTAGCCTCTCTTTTTCCAGTTCCTGCCATTTTCCTCCTCTCCTGTGCATATATCTGAGTGCAGGAGTAGCAGTGTGCCCATCTGAAGTGTATAAAGCAATTTTGCTCCTGCAATTTTCCTTGTACTCCTTCACAATTTCTGTGAATAGGAGCTGCCAAGAGGCTTTCAGAGGCCTCATGATGTCGCAGTGGGGATAGTCTTAGGCTTTTGGTCTCCTTCTTCCCATTTTGTGGGTACTTACTCTTGATTTGTTGTAATGATGTATGTGTGATTAGCTTGCAATTATGCTTTCAGCATGTAGAGCAGACAAGCCAATGTGTGAACAGGATGTCCACATTTCCTTTCTTTAAACTGTGAAAAGCATATACCAATTGCTGGAGGAAATTCAGTCTTAGCTCAAGACTGCAGAGCTGCTTGTGGCCATGACTGGAAGAATCCAAACTTCCGCCAGGAGCAATTACAAATTTTTTTGGTAGTCTTTTGCTGCAATTGCATGTTCCCTCTTTTGGAGAAGCCAATAAAAGTGTTTTCTTGGATGTTTTTGGGGTTTTTTTATTATTTGTTTATAGTTTTTTGTGTTACCCTTCAGTCTGTGTTTGTTTAGGATCAGTGTTATTGTTTAGTTTCTTCTTGCCTTTCTGTCTGAAATGATGAAAGGAATTTTATTTTTTTTTCTGAAAATGGGAAAATGGGAAAAATGGGAAGAATTCTGAGTCTGGATGTAATTCTAATGAATTCTAATAATGAATAATGAAACATTTAACTGAGAAGTGGAGAACTCATTAATCAGTCAGAAATCAAACACATACTTTGGGATCTCTCTTAAAGTCTGTATCCAGTCTTTTGGCTATCCCTGTTTATATTTTATTTCTGCTTTAAACATTGGGCAAGGGAAAGGAGAATCACAGGCTGGTATGTGGTTCATATAGCCCTGATGAAGAGTCAGCATCAGGAGTAAATTACTTGCCTGGCAACTTTATCTCCTTTCTTCTTCCCTCACAATTTTGTCTTGCTATATTACCATACCATTCCTCTTTCTGCTTATACAGAGCGTGCAGAGGTTTCAGTAGGGGTCACTAGCTAATTCTACAACAAAAGTGAGAACAGTGTTTGGCGCTTGTAGCCCTGTTTCTCTGTACCAAGCAATATTTTCATATTTCAGTCACCATACTCATTGCTGGAATCTGTGTTAGCACATAATGCTATTGGTCTTTCTGTTTTGTTTCTTAAACTGTATTATTTTCTCTCATTCAGAATTGAGTTTCTGCGACACCTCAGAAGCTTCTTCCAAATCATGTTTAAAATTGAAACCAAGACCACTGAGGAAGAACACACAGGCGGGGAGAAAGTCTTAATGACATGTGTTGGCATTGGATTTCACAACCTCAGTAAAACTATAAGATAAAAAACATCTACAGACTTTGTGAAAGACAGAAAATGCTGCAAAGATCTAATAAAACCTACCTGTCTGTGTACTTTGGCACAGGGAGACCTGTGATGATTCCAGGTGAGGGTATCCAAGCTCACTGCATGTAAACAATAAAGCTGACATTAGACTATTTAGATCTGTGCTATTTATAAATGCAATGCCAGTATTCTGTGCTTAGAGTGGCTCTCTGGAGTCTCAGCTGACTTGGGACTCTTTGCACTGTATTCCACTGAATAGGACACAAGTGCCTCATGTCAGTGTGGTCTCAAGCCTTAATGAGGTGAGTCCTCTGATTTTATGTATTTACTGATTTCACTCAGTTTTTTCTGAAAGGTTTAGATAGAGAGGGAAAACAAAATTGACTAAATTCACAGAATCACAAAATAGTCTGAGTTGGAAAGGACCCAGAAGGATCACTGAGTTCAGCTCTTAAGTCAATGGCCTATACAGGGATGAAACCCGTGACTTGGCATTATTAGCACCATGCTTTGACCAGCTAAGCTCATCTCTGGGTTGCAGTGTCACGGCAAGAATAAAGTATCTCTCTTTTATTTTTCCTAATGTTAGAATACTGCAGAAGAGATGGTAGCCTACACTGAATAGTTTTAGCCTCTTTTTCAAAGATGGACATGGGAGGAGAGACTTCCATGGCAGCTTTTGACTTATCACAAATATTCATTTTAGATTTGTTTGGCAAGCTATACACATGGTTCACAATTAGTTGTGAGTGGTAGCAAAAATAGCTGTAGGCTTTGAGAAAGAAAAATGTATTCAGTTCCACCATCATACTTTGTGCATCTGCTCCCTTTTTAAAGTGCCAATAATGCTTTATGGACTGTGTGCTTGGATTGACAGATGCAAAAAAGTTTCTACCAGGTTGAAAATACTTACCCACGAAGGCTCCTGGTAGATTCCAGGCAAACCTGTTGAAGTTAATGCTGAACTCCTGACAAGCGAAGAAATTTATATTTGACTTCAGACTGTACTTCATGTGTCTGGAGAAAAATAAAACTATGTCAAAAGCTGGTATATAGAGAGAGCAGATACTACTGACTGTGTTAAAATGGTTTTACAAACTCTCTGATGCCACTGTAAAGTGGGTATTACGTCTGTAGTATGAAGAATATATATTGGACCCAAAAAGGACTTTGACAAAACTTCGGTATTAGTGTTTTGTTAACTTTTGCAGCCATATGAGTAACTTTTTTACTGTAGTTCATTCTTGTTGCAATGTGTCACATGTGATTTGAAAAAATAAAGTAATTTTTTTCCTAAATAAGGTTTTAGTTCTCTTTAAACCAAAACCAACAACAACTGGGGGAAAAAAAAAAGCCTGGAAATCATAACATAAATGGCTATCTTGAACTAATACATCAAAAAAACAGTTTTGGGAGTCGCCAGAGGGGGAGGAGGGGAAAGGGTGAAGCCTTTTTATCATTTACTAGCTTTCAAAAATTTGACTTGCAGCTAAGGAAATCCTAAATAAAACAATAGGATGTGAAATAAAATCATGACTATATTTTTTACATTTCAAGTTAGAAAAAGATATGTAGGCCTGAAAGAATTTACCTTGCTCCCCTCTGTCACTATGTAATGAAAAAGCTGGTAACCTTATGAATTAAAATTACCCAAAATATAAGGCGCGACTGATCCAAAAGGTGAAATGTATCAACTAAAAAGCCACTGGAATAAAAATATAAAGCTTACATTAATTAAAGATTAATTAAAGCCACAGCTCCGATTTCCAAAATTTGCTTAAATAAAAATTTTTAAGTATTGTCACAACTTCAAAAATTAAAAGCTTTATTATTTTTAAGCTTATAGAGCTGTGAGTTTTTCCAAATGTTCCAGTTGCACCAGGCGTAGAGACATAAGTTGCCCAAGCAGCAGATTCTTCAGCAATAATTATGTCACACAATTACCTGTACTTAACCTCAGTGTTAAAATTGGACTGGTAGGCCTTAGCCCTGCTGCAAACTGCACAGCTCTGCAGCACCACACTTGCTGCAACTCTGAATTTGCTTGTTGCTTTACAGAGAAAAGGAAAGGTATATGAAACTAATACATTTTTCCAGAAGAGTCACTCTTTGGAGAAATATTAACAATTCCAGAGGAGGTTTTAGGTAAGAACTTGCTTGAAATTATTTGGCCTTCATATTCTGGGAAAAGTACTTATTAGAAGGAAATCCTGCAGATAAAAGCTATGTGTTTAATGGCAAAACAGCAATTGACATCTGTTTTGGTGGTTTGATTACACAAGCAGTAATATAGTTAAGTTTAGAGCTGGACAGAGGAAATTAATTTTTGGTGAAAAAAATTCATAGTGTTGGTAGCCACAGACTTTTTGGTAAATATTACAGTTACTAGGAGGCACATCTCTCATCTCAGTCCATCCACAGCAGAGTAATATTCGGTTAACTTAAATTTGAAGGGGTTAGCTGTACATGAATAATCCTGTACTCTTTGAACAATCCATCAGTAATTTAGTTAATCCCTTTGGGTGAACAGCTCTGATCACAGAATCAGAATGGTTTTGGTTGGAAGAGACCTCACAGATCATCTGGCTCCACCATCCCCCAACCAGGTTGCTCAAAGACCCATTCAGTCTGGCTTTGAACACTTCCAGGGATTGGGCATCCACAACTATGTTGGGCAACCTGCCAGACCAGCTCACCACCCTCACAGTAAGGAATTTCTTCCTAATAGCTAATCTAAACATACCCTCTTTCAGCTTAAAGCCCTCATGACTTTTTCTGTCACTACAGGCCTTTTAAAAGAGTTCCTTTTCATCCTTCCTTTAGTTTCCATGAAGTACTGACTTAAAGGTGCTATAAGGTCTCCACAGAGTCTTCTCCAGGCTGTACAAACCCAACTCTCTCAGCCTGTCTTCATGAGGAGGAGAGGTGCTCCAACCCTCAGATCTTTACCGTGGGCCTCCTCTGGACCTGCTCTAAGAGGTCCAGGTCTTATGCTGGGTTTCCTAGAGCTGGTTGCAGCACTGCAGGTGCAGTGCTGTTAGAGTGGCAGTCATGGTGACATGAAAAGTATTTGTAAAATATACCTTTACCTTTCATCTCCTGCCAATTTTGTAATACCTGTTGTTAAACTTTCTTCTATGATGCTATGATTGTAGTTTGACTGCATGTTCTGTGGTTAAGTCAGAAAATTCATGCTAACTTGCTGTAGGACAGCTTCTGGAGTAGAAGAGATAATATTGCAAGCAAAAGTGTTTCATTCCAAGCCAGTGCACTTTACCAAACACATATGGCTAGAAGCCAGTGCAGTAAGTATCTGGGGAAGCACACAGTAGGTAAGCTAGCTAGGCCAAAACAGTAAGTACATGGCTGTCTTGGGTAATGTTTTCAAAATGGTGTTTTGTTACTGCCAGAGCATAGATACTTTCTCTCTTCTTCTTCCTCATGGGTGGTATGGATTTTGTTTCAAGCCACAGAGGCATAATTCTCTGCTTGTAAATTCTGACATTCACTTCCCCATTTCTCAATCACACTCTCGAGACAGAAACCAGAGGCAAAAAAAAGACAGGCAAGAAAATAATCTGTTTTCAAGATGCATGATTTTGTCTATGAGTTAATTATTTCCTCCCCTCCTTTTTTTTTAAAATATTGTGTGGCTACCTCCACACTTTTATTTTGTATGTCTGATGTATGTTCACTTCTATTTAATCTGGCTCCTAAGGGATCCCAAGTAAGACACAGAACTGTATAATAATAAAAATAAAAATATGGAAGGAGCATCTTTTGCAGTTACTGTTTAGGTCTTGGTAAGCTCTGTCTTAAAAGAGCATTCATGATGGGTTATCTAGTGTCTTCCTTTTCCTGATCTCTGAGCAACACTGACAAGCTCTGAAAAACTCCTTTAACCTGTTGTCAATGAGAGGGGTAAAAAGACAGAAAGTCCTGCAGAGAAGAGTGTGTGGGCTGAACTGTGTGGTGATGGCACTGGATGAGTAACAGAATTAAGTCATACGCTGTGTCACAGCATCACAATGTCCAAATAGCACTTGGACGAGATATAAATTGAGTTGTGACATTGTTACTAGACAGAACTATTAGGGTGATTTGTAGTAAATCTGTAGCAATAGATGTCAGGTATTAGTGCTAATCTCTTTCCTGGAACAGTAAGATTATGTATATGCACTAAGAAGAGTGCCCTGAGCTGTATTCACTGTGTATTAGAGAGTACAGAAATACTCTGCGTGTGTATGTAGCAAATAAGGAGACCCACAGAGGAAACCTGGTTTAAAGTAGATCAAGGGTGTAGCCATACGAAAACAAAGGCCAAAATAAACGTTTTACATGAGGGTTAACAGTGGCTGGGTGCCCATGGAAATGAAGTAGCAACTGCTCTGTGCAACTGAGCACGCAGAGGTAGGCTGTGTCTCTGCACATTTGTCCTCTTGCTATATGTCTGCCGCATAGTCACTCCCTCTTCTCAGTACCAGTTTGGCCATACTTCCCTGGCAGCCTCCACTATGCTGCTGACACAGCAAACATGAGTACTCCTTCAACAGTGAGCCCATGGTGAAAATCTGCAGGGCCTTGTGGAGGCTGATCCATGTGAGGTATCTGGGGCTTAACTGAGGAGGAGCTAGTAGGATTCAGAGCTTGATTCCAGCGATGATCACTACATGTCAATGATACATCCCATTTTACAAAACGCAACAGGCTCAGGAGGACACCCATGAGGGTCGATGCCTCAGAAGTTACACATTTAAGAACAAATGCCTTACCCCTTCTCACTACATTTTTAACCTGCTGCCACCTTGCTCCTTGAAAGTTACTTAAACATTTTATCAATCTGAAACTGTCTCCCAGGATAAGGAAAAAATTGCTCTAGCAACTTTTTTTTGTAAATGTAGATATATTTTCTTAACTTTTAATGAATGTGGATATATTTTGTAAGTTAAGACTTCTGAATGGTCATCCCTCAGCACAATCAGGACAAACAATTTTCTTTGTGTGTCTGGAAATACGGTTTTGATTCTGTATAATGCACTAAACATCTGCAAGATACATCTAGATCAAAATATGCACGAGTTTATTTACTTTTTATTTTTTAACATCATGAAAGTGAGAAAAAAAGAGAAGAAAAACCCAGCCATACTGGTTTGTTT